CCAAAGCAAATACAAACCTTACTTTGGATTTGACTTCCTGATACAATTAGAGACAGCGTGATTTAAAGCACCCGGATTAGTGCTGTGGAATTCAGCAGTCCCAGAGGTCACAGGGACACTTTTCTTCTTGGGGATTTGACTTACCAAGGGCCATTCTCTCCTGTACTGCAGAGTTCTCGAGTGAGATTTGTGTGTGGACTCCATAGGTTCTATAGAAAAAGGCCTCCTATTAAAGTTTCTATTAAAGTTGGTAATTGCCATCTCTAATAAAAATATTTCTTTAAAAATCTAACTATATTGCCCTAGCTTGTTTGCTCAGTGGATAGAGCATTAGTCCGCAGACCAAAGGGTCCCAGGTTCGATTCCAGTCAAGGACATGAACCTTGGTTGGATTGTATGCAGAAGGCAACCAATCCATGTGCCTCTCACATTGATGACAGAGATAGCTCTCTGTCTTTCCCTCTCCCTTCTATTCTCTCTAAAAATCAATGAAAAAATATGCCTGGGTGAGTATTAACAAAACAAGTGAACAAAATCTAACTATAGCCCATTCAGCATGGCTCAGAGGTTGAGCATCAACCTATGAACCAGGAGGTCACATTTTGGTTCCCAGTCAGAGCACATGCCTGGGGAATGCAGAAGGCAGCAGATCAATGATACTCTCTCATCACTGATGTTTCTATCTCTCTCTCCCTCTCCCTTCCTCTCTGAAATCAATAAAAAATATTAAAAAAACTTAGCTATATTTATTCTTCCAGAGGGCATAGAGAGATAGGTGGTACCCTGAAAGAAGAAATTTGCTTAGGCTGAAGAAGATACTTTGCCCACACACACACACATACACACACACACACACACACACACACACACACACACACACACACACACTCCAGTGGAGAAGGAAGGGTTGCAAGTATCAGGGCGCCCAAAGCGGTACTGCCTAGGTATTGGGTTCTGGGACAGAGTTTGTCAATAATAGGCCCAATCTATCAAGACATTCACCAGACTATTATGACACACTGGGAGCTTTTCATAAATCATATTTTTCAGTTTAAAGGACTCTTCGTTTTCAGATTTTGTGCCCCTTACTTCTTTTGATGTAAATTGTTCTTCCTTATGCGAAATGATGGCCAGAGAAGATATAACATTTGTTTTTATGTTCTTACTTAAAAAACAAAACAAAACTGTAGCTGTACATTGGCTTTCAAATTTGTTTTTGGAATATTGCCAGCTGATCAAATTCAAGAGCCTAGAAATTGCTGCTCAACATGAAGCATAGACACTCCCTTCATTCTTGCTAAATAAAAGAAGTTATCATTCTGGTTTTATAAATCATTCCATAGAAATGTAGTTTTTATGTTACTTCTCTGGCCAAAGATGCCATCTCCACCCCATCTATTAAAAAAATGAAACACCTCAAAAGTAAATAATCAAGAGGGAATATGATTATAGTAAAGCTTATTTCATCAAATAGATATATGGCTAAAATGCTTCCAAAATATATGTTTTCTTTTACCTCTAATATAGTCCTTATAAAATTAATATTGTGATTTTCCTTGAAATAAAAAAATATAACAATTCAATAAACTTTTTGCAATCCAATGGCTACATTATGAAATGGTAATTTCTTTTGTACCATTTGTAAAGGAACTAATAAAAAATTTAAAATGTGAACAGCTGAAGTTTGAAAAATTAATGAGACCTTAACTGAATATAAAATAATGCATCATCATGAAAACACAGTTCATGGTAGGAAGAAATATGAGAATAACTTTCTTCATATGCTTTTGAAGTCATCAAGGAGTCAATATAATCTTCTACAGTATGTTTGACTTTAATTGTATTACCATGTAGTTAAACAATCAGCCTTCAATAGCTGCCTCCTTCCAAGGTAGGTAGTTCATATATATTGCTGAGGATATTGTCTTCTAAATATCATTATGTTAATCTGGTCAATACAGTGTTTTTCAAGTTTTCTATATCATTAATAAACATTTTACCTAGTTTATCAATTATTGAAAGTGACGTGTTAAAATCTCCAATTATAGTTTTATAAACTTTTAAGTTTATGTAATTTTAATTTTCCTTTAGCTCTGCCTCCTGGTGATCAGTGCACTTCATAGTGACTGGTCTACTGGTTGACTGTCTGCCTCTGATGGTCAATGCACATCATAGCAAGTGGTTGAGGTCCTTGGCATATCATTAGCATATTGCGCTTTGATTGGTTGAATGGCCAACCCATCGACCAGAAACTCAGCATATTAGGTTTTTATTATATACGATAGATGAGTTATCATCTGGTATTATTTTCCTTAAACTTGAAGAGTTTATTTTAATAGTCTCATGCTGCCATCAAACTTCTTTCTTCTTGAGACTTTGTTATCTAAAAATGCCTTGATTTTCTCCTTATTGTTGAGGAAATTTTTTTTGCTGGATATGGAATTATAGATTTAATGCTTTTTCAATAACCTAAAAATATTCTATTACCCTCTGGTTTGCATACTTTCTTATACCATCAGTTGTCATTATTCTCACTGTTCTCCTATATGCAACCTATGGTTGTTTTCTGTGTACTTTTTAAGGTAGTCTCCTAATCTTCATCTTTATGCAATTTGACAACATGACAATTTGACAATGAGCTTAAGGATAGTTTTTCCTATTTAGATTTGTTTGAAAAATATGTATGTAAGTGTATGTGTATATATATTTATATAAAATCAAATTAAAAAAGTGTTTGGCCATTGTGTCTTCAAAGATTTTTTTCTACTCCAATATCTCTTTCATCTTATTTTAGATCTTCAATTACACAAGATATTGTTCTATAAGTCATGGAGCTCTGCTTATTTTTTTCATACTTTTACTCTTTATGTTAAGTTTGGATGGTTTCTAGTGTCCTACTTCAAGTTCATTCATTTCTTCCACAGTCTCTATTTTACTGTAAGTCCTCAAGAGAAATTTACATTCTAATCAAAAGAGTTTTTAGATATAGACCTTCCATCAGTTTTTTAATAGCTTTTATTGCACTGCTGGGTTTCCACATATTACATCCATATTTTGATTTACATCCTTAAAATATTTATAACATTTTGTATAGCTGTTGTCTTTGTTTGCAAAAATTTCATTTTGACTGCTTTAGAGCTGGGCATGTGAAAATTTGTTCTAGTTTCTGGGTATGTAAAAATGAAAAGCAATCCATGTATTAAGATATCCAAGACACTACTGGTGCATCATACCAACTGGCGTTGAGATGAAAAGGCTGTCAGTCAGGGCTGTCAACCATAATTTAGGAAAGTAATTTGACTTGAGTTAAAGAGTAGACTTTGGTACAACTGGTCATAAAAATACAGACAGAATTAGCATTGGTATATTGGTATATTATTCATGATGGAATGTGTAAAATTAGAGATTCATGGAGAAAAATGAAATCAGATTATGGAATGTCTGAAAAGTTTGACATATACTTTTATGGAAAATAATGAAACCACTTCCATTTTATAAGGTATGAGAATAGCACAATAAAGAAAATCACTCTGCTGATTTTCCTTTTTTGTGATCTGTCTTGTACTCAGAAATATAGGCTAGATCATTTTCTAAATATGAAACAATAGAAGTATAAAAAAGAAAGATTCCCATTAAAAATTGAAGTATAGAGAATATTGACTTTTATGAGTTAGTAATTCAACAAAACCCTATTCTCTGGAAAATATATATAATTTTTTTAGAGAGTAATTGTATTGGAGTTAGTTGTAAAATTTGGCTACATAAAAATCCAGTTTTCCATAAAGCATAATCTACGAGAGAGATAAAATGGCAGGCCCAGCTGCACAAGCACAATATTGCTATGGGAACAATTTGATTACAGTCAGCAAAACTGAGAGTGTTTACTGGTAATGTTAATTTTTCGCTGGGCGGGAACAAGACACGAATTTAGGGCTCTACATTTGTGATACTAAAGTGTGGTTTGGCTTCTCTGAAAACTTCAGCATGGGAAAGTAAGAAATTAGAGCAAGTGTTCTGATAAATGAACTTGGTTACTCTTTCTTGATTTTAGAATATATGACTCACTTTTTATCATATGGCACCAAGTGCGTGGTTTTATTAACTTAATTTTGTTTCAAATCCAATTGTTCTCTGTGATTGAAAATTTAAATGTTTGCCTTCGAAAGACACAAGCCATATACGACAAAGCATATAAGACAAATCCCATGAACCTGGAAAATGAAACAAATAGGAGAAAGGGTCATATCTGCTGTAGTATAAAAGACTCCAAGAATGTTGAAACTGTCACAGTGCTCTCGTTATTTGCCATAAATGACAAGACACAACGTTGTCTCTGAGAGCCTAAGTTGATGCTCTTTGAAAAAAAAATGTTGAGAAACATATTAGAAGATTCCAAAACTGAGTGGTTGGCCACGCTGTGGGCAGTTGGTAAGAGTTAGGTGTGGAGGATGAAAGTTAAAAGGGAAGTACTTCTTCTTAGCATCCAGAAGGGTGAAGGCATGGGAAAGATGGAGGGAGAAGGAGGGTTCTATGAAGGTGCTGATGATGAGCCAGACCTGGAGGACAGGCAGTGCTGGCTGAGGCAGGGAGCGGCCGGGTTTGATTTTGGAGAGGAGGGATCCAGATGTGGGGAAAATTGGGCAGAACCAACCATGAGGAAAACTCAACTCTCTGAAATGTTTGGAGAGATAAATATTTAATGATTTTTGTTTTTGTTTTGTTTTCTGGTCAGATTTTTCTTCCAGGTAACTTATTTTCCATTGCATTTTGACTAAGACTCTCCCTGTGGTGAAACCAGAGGTCAGGCACCTCTTCCCTTCTGCAGCACCCCAAAGGTCCCTTAAATAGTCTGATAGTCAGTCTTCCTCTCCTCGCACCCCCCTCCCCCCTCAGGTCCCTGGGGAGCATCCTGCGCCTGCGCACATTGCAGTCCTACCCACCAGCAGGGGGCAGGCCAGGATTTTCTTTGCTCCGCGCCTGGGTTCTGCCACCCCTCTTCTCCTCGCCTCTTCTTGAGCTTTGGCCTGGACACGCTTCCTTAGCAACGGTTGCCCCTGGCAACAGGAGGACGCGGTACCCGCAGGCTTGGTTTCCCCCCTGCAGGCGGTCGGTCGGGTCGGGTCGGAGGCCCAGGCTGAACCATGTCTGAGATCCTGTGCGAGTGGCTCAACCACGAGGTGAAGACGTCCCAGACCGTGAGTGAGTGTCACCGCCCGGGGCGGGCCGGGCCCAGCGGCCACCGCGGATGCAAGGCTGCCGGCTGGCCAGAGCTGGCAGGTCCAGCCGCCCCCTCTTCTTTGGCCCCAGACCCTGGCAGGCTCCTCCCACCCCCCCGTGCCACCCCGGGGGTCCAGCCTGCAGGCTGGGGCTGCTGTGCTGGCCAGCGCATGGAGTGTGCGTGCTCCTGGCCCCTCAGCAGTAGCTGCTCTGAGGGTTCTCTCCAGAGCAAGAGAGACCCCAGGCAGCCCCTCCACACACCTGCCCTCCGGGGTGAGTGCATGCAGAGCATGTCAACATGCACACACTTGGCAGCTTCAGCCCCAAAGTCACAGACATTCGCTGACCACTGTTCACTCCGGCCCAGAGCTAACTTCATTCTCACCCGATGCCACTCCCAACCAGGCAGCTGCCACCCGGAGTCTCTAAATCTCACAGAGGCGGCCTTCCAGACTGGCATCTCCCCCTGATGGCCCAGGCATCTCCCCCAGCTCAGCCCCCTACTCCCTCTCAGCGTCCCTCTGTGGTTTCAGACACAGGAGTTTGCTTCTCAGCTGGCATTGTTTTGGCTCAAGGCAAGAGGTTCTCAGCCCAAATCGGTTCAGCCTGTTTTCCCAGAAACGCCCTTGCATAACAGCAGCTTGCTACCTCTTACTGAACACGTGGGCATGTCCATGGGACCCTGTGCCAAGCCCTTTCCGTAGGTTTTCTTATTTAATCCTAAAAACAAACAAATAAAAAAGCCCTCAGATGTGCGGGTGAGTAAAAGGGGCTGAGAGATCCGGTGATTTGTTCAGGGTCGCTCAGCTGGAATTCCAAGCCAGATCCTTGACTTGTGCTCCTGGGCACTCTCTTGTACAACTCTATCTTTAGGGGATGTATTTTAAATAACTCAGCTCCCCCAGATGTATTCATGTGAGCTGCTTTGATAGGAATCATTGTTCAATGTGAAGTCACAAGAAGTACAGTAACCCATAACCTAATTCCTCCATGGCCAGGCGCCAAAGGTGGACTTACTAGTGTTAGTTTAGCAGTGATTCCGACTCCATGTTACCTGCTGGAACAAAGAAGACAGGGTGAGAATGCCACATGAGCGCATGTGCTTCCTTGATGAGGGTGAATAATGGTTCAGTCATTTTTCAGAGGCAGCTGAAGTCCGTTGGTTTATGGATCATTCTGTAGGGCAGAAGTCAATTTGGATAAGCATGTTATTGACCTCTGTGTTGCCTGGACTATCCTGAATAGCAGCAGTAAAGAAAAAGAATTCCAATGACCCTTAACTGAGAAGTCTCCCTCCTCTTATGGAGAGAGGTTTCTGGAGTCACTAGAAACTTGATTAGCCCCAACATATGAAGACTCACGCCTATGTTACCAAGGCTAAGGACCTTCTGGGAGTCAAATGTAACCTGACCATGTCCCCTAGAAAATGATGCTTAGATGTGTATGTTAGTGAAATGTCTTAGAATACACAAAAGATGCTCAACACAAAATGACACCTGAAATCCAAGCAATTATTTTCATAATGAAAAATAAGTAATGAAATGTTACTGAAGAATTTGCTGTAAAAAAAATTTATGGACGCTCCATTGTTTTTCAAGAATACACATTGCCTCTTTTTACAAAACTTAAAAAAATATATTTTTATTGATTTTTTTACAGAGAATAAGGGAGAGAGATAGAGAGTTAGAAACATTAATGAAGGAGAAACATTGATCAGCTGCTTCCTGCACACCCCCTATTGGGGATGTGCCTACAACCAAAGTACATGCCCTTGACTGGAATCGAACCTGGGACCTTTCAGTCTGCAGGCCAACGCTCTATCCACTGAGCAAAACCTGTTTCGGCTATAAAACTCTTAGGTGGAAACTAGCATCAGAATAGTCTCCATAAAAAAAAAAAAAAAAAAAAAAGGTGAACGTTTTCAATAATTGAGTAGAAACCTTTGAATTCCATGCACTGCACCAGTCAGATCCTTTGTAAAGATGGATGTACAAGATGGCCCATGTTCTTTTGGATTCTGGGTGTGGCTCTGTTGGAAAATTTGCAGTACCCAAAATGGAAATAATAATCTCTAAGTCCCCATATTACACCTGGAAAGTAAGGATTAGAGTTGCTATATAGTTGGGAGGGTATTAAGTGAAGTTGCAAATGAAAAATGCCTGCCTCAGTTCTTAACATCTACTACATCAAAATACTGGGGAAAAAATACATTATCTCAACCATTCTTCTCTCTCACTTTAGATGAATGTCTAGTCTAGTGCCTGTCACGTAGTGGCATTCCGTAAATAATTGTTAATTAACTGAAATTCTGCGAGGGAGATAAGAGTAGAGTATGGGCTGAATCTTATGGATTTGTTCATCTTGAGAAGGTCACCCTGGGAACTTTGACCTGCAGCTTTGTGAGCTCAGAAGCTGTTTTATTATTTTAAGCAAGTTCTTAGGAATTGTTTCCTACTAACTGAAATCATATTTTCCTGATTTTATTAAAACAGGGTACCAATTTATCATGAGGAAAGGATAGCAGAACAACCAATCCTGGCAACTGAGCACAGTGCACCATCTCAATAGGCTGGTGCACTCAGGAGAAGAGCAAATTTATAGATCGGATTGCTCACCGACAATCAGAAATTAGATATTATCAAAAGAGCTCCCAAAATTAAGCTAACATTTGATTTGTTTTACTTACCTGCTCCACAGATAGTGTATATACATAGCTGTGACGGGTTGGATTAAATTAGGTTAGATTCTGTTAGAGTCAGAATCCTTCATTCCTCCTCTTCCTCCTCCTCCTTTTCCTCTTCCTCGTTTTCCCACCAGCGCAGGAATAAACTGTGCTGCTCAATGTTATTTTCCAGTGTCACTACTACTACAGAGCTTCTGAAATTACATCATTTGCCTATTCTTTCATTGTAGAAACTCTGTCCTTAATAAGGTTAATTAATATATCCAAAGATTATAGTTCGCATGATATGTCAAAAAAGTAAATAGATAACGTTATAAGAGGTAGGCTGTGCTGCGTGTTAATTTTTTTTGCATGAGTGAGTTTCCCTAGGTTTCCAATTTTGTTGTTTCATATTAAATCTTAGTAATTTTTGTTTCAGAGAGTGACATTTTTTATTATTTGCATTCTTTATTTGCGTCTCCTTGTGCATTACCTAGACTTTGATGATTAGGTCTTATGTCAAGACCTTTACAAAAGAATCAAGTTTTATTTTTTAAAAGGAGCTATTAAAATATTTTATAGACTATTTATTTATATACATTTATATACTAGATGCCTGGGCGCATGGATTCGTGCACCGGTGGGGTCCCTCAGCCAGGCCTGCTCCTTCTTGCAATCTAGGATCCCTTGAGGGTTGTCACACTGCCAGTTCTGGCCCTATCCCTGCAGGACCTGTGAGAATCAGGCCGAAACCAGCAGTCTGACATCCCTTGAAGGATGTACCAGTGTGTGAAGTGGCAGGTGGCTGAGAAGGAGTCCAAGCCTGGCCAGGTGCCTCACTGCCCTTGCTCATCCTGGCTGCTCATCCTGGCCCTACTGCACCTGCAGCCACTGCTTGCTGCTTGGTAGTGCTGCCATGGAGGCAGAGGCGGGAGAGGCTCCGGCTGCTGTAGCTGAGCTCTCACCAGCCTGAGCCCAATTTATGTCTGAGTGGAACTCCCACTGTGGGAGTGCACTGACCACCAGGGGGCAGTTCCTGCATTGAGCATCATAGCAGTCACTTAGGCTTTTACATATAGATTGCGGTGGCCTATTATTGGCCTCTGATGACCATATCAAAGAGTCAAAGAACTTGAGATCTGAAAAGGAATCTCACATATAATTTAATTCTTCTTTGGCAGATAAGGTAATTAAATAAGATAAGTTTAGAGATTTAAGGTTGTACAGCTAGGAAGTAGCATGTTAGCAGTACATTTTGAATCTGCTGACTTTTAATTCGTTCCTCTTATAATCTGGTCTCACTAACCCACACATTTTTCTCATGCTTCACCCCTCAGAGTCATTAGGAAATATGTTGCTTCTCACGTAATACTACAGATTTCGATACTTTCTGGCTAGCTCAGCAGCATTTCTCTTCATTAAAGCTTGGCTTCTTTGGAATTGAGACAGCAGATCTCGTACCAGAAGGCTGTTGTGAAAATCAATTTCAAAATCTTAAGATGTGAAGTTTCAAGAAAAGAATGTCACCCGAAATTTAAACCATTCAAGAAGGTTATAATAACATCGAGATTTTATTTTAAACAGTAAATCTTGGGAAATATGATAAAGTCTTCAAAGGAGATGACGGGTCATCCTATTCTCATACTGGAGGGAAATAAATGGCCTGTCTCCTCTGTACAGGACCGCAGCGTAAACCTTTGGTTGAACAAAGTCAGGCTTATTGTCCGATTGAAAACTGGGGCATCTCAGTAAGAGGGAGTGAGGAAGGATTTAAAGCATTTGTTCTTGTGTTAGATGTTTTTGAGGAGGTTTAAAGGAGGTGGTGCTTTGCTCTGAGTTTGATACTGTCAGAGCGTAGGCATCTCTATGGCACGGCACCTTAATAAATCTTACCCAGGAAGTGGAGAGAATAAAGTGCCACAAAGCCACGACTGGTAAAAAAGCAGCAACCAGCCTGGCCAGTGTGGCTCAGTGGTTGAGCATCAACCCATGAACCAAGAGTTCACTGTTCGATTCTGGGTCAGGGCACATGTCTGGGTTGCAGGTTTGATCCCCAGTAGGGGGGTATACAGGAGGCAGCTAATCAATGATTTTTTTCTCATCATTGATGTTTCTCTCTCCCCATCTCCCTTCTTTTCTCTGAAATTAACAAAGCCAGAGAGCCTAGGGACACCAAGACCTGATGGGGCCAGGCCGGTTCCCTGCCTTCAGCAGCTACTCTTCTTTCTCTCAAATAAAAGTAAATTTGCTGGACTTTTTTAACGTGGTTGATGATGCAGGCTAGAACGTTGCTCATCTATTACAGGAAGAGTGAAAGCCATTGAGCATAGAATAGATAGGTCTACAGACTCATACACAATGCCAATACGCAAATGTCTCTACTCATTTGGTGGCAAACCGTGGCCGGAAATGCTGTGACACTATGTGTAGTCGTTATTTCTCTCTCTCAAATGTTTTGCTGTGGAAATCAACTGTGTTTTGATTGCGTGTGTTTCTGGTTGGAGTGTTAGAGCTTATCTGGCCTTAAGTGTCGGCCTGTATCTGAGTTTAAAAGACAATGTCCACTATCTGCTCTCTGAGTACTGAATTACCTTTTAAGCAAGAATGTACTGTAGTCCTTGAGGATCTAGTATCGAGCTCCTAAATTAGGAGGCAGTAAGAAGAATTGTCACTGAGCTGTCACTCTGTGCTGGCAACAGCACTAAGCACTTTGCATGCAATGTCTCATTTAATTCTCAGACCAACTCCCACGAGGTAGAGAGGCCCAAAGGCCGGTCAGTGGCTTCTCAGTGAGCAAGGAGTCAGAGCCAGAGAATCTGTCTCCGGAGCCTGCGCTCCCCTCGCGGCCACTGTGGAGAGCAGAAGGCTTGTCTCCTTCCGTGCTTTCTCCGGGCGGCTCGGGGCCCTTTCGGTGGAGAAGCACAGGGACGGCCTCCCCCTCGGTCCTGGCCTCTCAGACCTTCCATGAAGGCCCACATCAGAGCTCTCAGCAAAGTACACTTTAGGAGGGGGATGAGTTATGTGGCGTGGAAGATTGCTGCCGACCAGGCTTATCCCGGATGTAACGCATGTCAGAGCTCAGCACGCAGCCCCTTCCTGGGCTCCCATGGGTTAGCTATTCTCAGTTCTTCTCTGCTCCTTGTCCTAGAATCAACCCGCCTCTTCTTTCCCACAGGAAATGCCCATTGTTAGTGCACATGAACTTATAGAGGGGGCTGTCAAGGAATTAGTCGTGATATTCAGGAACACATACTAGGAAGAAAAATATGATAAACCAAAGGCGGGGGATGAACTTTTCTTTGCTTTTGCTTTCCCCCTACTGTTTCTCTCCTCCCACCCTCTCCCTGGCTTCTTATCTGTCTCCTCATACTTTTTAATCTATATTAAAAAATATATTCCTAGTATATATATTTAATAATTTTCTTGCTAATTCCTTGCAAGGTATTCTTTTTTCTTTACTTTTTTTCTACATGTCTTCCATTGTTGCTTTTATTGGTTGCTATAGCTTTTCACCCTTCATTCTCTTTTCAGTCTGGGTGGCAGGCAGTAAAATCTGCAGTGTCCTATGCAGGCAAAACTGCAGATTGATGTTTTTTGTACTTGGTTATTTGTAGTGAACTCCTTGACAATGAAATAATAAGTGTTGATTGTTCTCCTTTGACCTTTATGCCCATACATGCCTCTATTTTACCCATATCAGAATTGCATTATTAATACGACATGCCAACCCAAAGGAAGTGGGTTATGGTTTTATCTCCCTAGTGACCTTTTCGTAGGAGTTTGCTGCAGACTGTTTGCCCGCCACATTGAGAGCGATGGAATCAGACACAGTTACCCCCAGTTATTCCTGAGCTAGACTTCAGTATTCAGTCAGCATGAACAACAGGCCCAGTGCAAAGCCAGAGGGAGAGAGAGGACTGAGAACCTCCTAATGCAACATAGCTCCTGAGTGCAAAGCTGTGGTCTTTAGACTATCGCTAGACACCCATAGTCTGCCATGGCTCTTTGTCCAGTGGCTCTTCAGAAAACCAAGAGAAGAATGGGGATGGGTAGGGAAGAGAGAAGGGAAAAAAGCAGAGAAAAGGAAGCAACAGACAGAAGGGGGCAAGGCACATCCAGAGTGGCCCAGATGGCACAGTGAGGACAGTGGTGTAGCCGAGACCAGGGCACAGCAGTGGTGGCCGGCAATGGGGGTTTTCGAGGAAAGGAGAAAGCAGCCGTGACTCGGGAGGAGCAGGTGGTGGCACACCTCTGCCCTTTGGAGGTGGACACAGCCATTTGGATGTTAGTTGCTTCAAACAACTACTACTGTATGATGCCAGAGACATGGCCAATAGATGCTAATGCTAGACAGTTCCAGAGCTCATCCTGAGTAAATGGAATCAATGGGAATCATTGACATCATTGTTTAATTACTTATTATATTATTCAACCTAAGTATTGGAGTATTATTAAGAGTATAAAATATGCAAAAATTGGTAAAACTTTGGGCAAAATTGTGGACAAGAACATTATTCCTGTGATAACACGCAGTGTTCTGAGTGAGACCTTCATGGAACAACTGGCTTCGCCCACGGTAGCCTCAAACCAAGCATCAGATTGACAAATCCAACATTTCTTCGTATTCAATTAGCCACCCGATTATCGGTCAAATAGATAAAAGAGGACAACCTGGCACAAATGAGTTTGTGATACTGCCACGACATAGAGTGTTTTGACTGCTGTTGCTTAAAAGACCCTTAAAGAAACATATTGAAGATGTCTGCAGGATCTTGAAATCATTTGAGAGATGATGGCAGTGTCCTATGATAATATAATTTATGTATCAATGTTATACATCATCCTTTACCCTATATCCTTTACTTCATAAAGAAAAATACAAGTGACCCCAAACTAAGGACATTTTTAAAGAAAGCACATTCTGTTTAACACTTTAATTTTCTTTTTCCTGCACTTATCATTAGATGCATCCTAGCAGGCATTGTACTAAGCAGGCGTTGTGCTAAGCTATTCTCATCCATTATCTCTAATCTTTAAAATAGGTCTCCAAGATAGGTGTAGATATGTCTGTACGTTCTAGAAACGAGAAACCCAGAAAGTGCACTGCTACTAAGGGGCAGAGCCCAGATGTCCACATCCATGTCTCTGGCTCCAAAGCCTGTTTTCCTCTGGTCCATCTGCATCGTTCCACAGGACACCTGGATGAGGGTAACCTTCGGTAGCACCAAGGAAAAGCTTGACTGTGTCCAGTTGGCTCTATTTAAGGAGGTGCAGACAATTCTGTAAAGCTTCCATTGTCAAAAGGTTAAAGTTGAGTCCTCATTATTGTTTTAGAAAGTTATACTGCACCTCACTTGGCCAGAATATTATGCTATCACCATCCACAGGTTGTACTAATTCTAAGGAATTGCAGCGTGATTTCATAAAATACATGGAAGGTTTGTTTTTAAATATAAGGTGATGGATTTGACTGGTTGTGTTTTAATTTGATCAGAAGTTGTCTTTCCTTTCAAAATTTCATACGTCACCAAGTATTTATATATGTTTATGGAAAAAATTTTAAAAGACATCTACCATTAAACTTCCATCTTTTTATTTGCTTATTCAAACGATATTTCTAGAATTAATTTTATGGAATTTGGGGTTCAAGTTAAATGATAGAGTTTCTCTTTGTAAGTACATAATTAAAGCATATAGATTCTACATGCAACATGTTGACCTTTTACTCTCTATGCTTACACTCAGCCCCCAAGTCCTTTGCCAAGGCATTTTCCAGTGGCTATCTGATTGGAGAAGTTCTTCACAAATTTGAACTCCAGGATGACTTTTCAAAATTTTCACAAAGCAGGTTAGTCAGAATCTTTCTTACTTCAAAAAGGGGTCCGTTTCTTTGGCATCTGGTTGGGTTAGCCTCCAACAGTCACTTTCAGGAGCCATCAGTCTCAGGATCCCCTTGAAAGCCTCAACCGGGCAAGAGCGCCTTCGTGTGGGACTTGTCTCTTCCCCGTGCATCTGTAACGCGTGACGTTGCGATTTCTCCACATCCTCATTGCTTGTTTATTGTCTGTCTTATCGTAGCCACCCGAGTGGCTTTGGGAAAACGTGTAACGGCTTGAATCCACCATTACAGGGTCACACAGAGTCCTGTCACTGCCCCCAGACCCTCCGTGCTGGCTGCGCATCTGGCCCACCTCAACCCTGGGCAGCCACTGATCTCGTTACTGTCTCCATATTTTTGCCCTTTCTACAGTAGAATGTCCTCCACCTGGAATCACATAGTATGTGGCCTTTTGAGCTTGGCTCCTTTCACTTGGTAATGTGTACTCACGGTCCACGGACAGCTTTTCATGGCTTGAAAGCCTGTTTCTTCTCAGTGATGGATAACAGTTCACTGTCTTCTGTCACACAGTTTACGTATCCATTCACCTGCAGAGGGGCATCAGGTTGCCTCCAGGTGTTGGCCGTTACTTGCCTTGGAAATTACTAAATCTGAAAAGAATTCTCAGTTTTAGGATATTTTCAGTCCATCTCAAGAGATGGAAATGAACAGATTACTTAAAAGAGTGAAAAATAAAGAGGCACAGATACCCCTGAGGGGGCAGCTTCTACTTGCTCTGAAACGTGTGTTCCCTCACCGAGGGACCAGGAGAGAAGGAGACAGGCAATCCCTTGGCAAATTAGAACTGCAAATAGGGAGGGAGAAGACTTTTCCCAGAATGCATTTCTTTTCCTTAGAGTTGAGACTTTCATCACATACTCTGTCTCCAGAGCAAAGATGCCCCCAGTGGTTTCTCTGTGTTCAAAAACATCTGAATTGACAGTGCGGTGTTCAGGGCTATTTTCAGACTCTAGTAATAACAGCATTTGAAGAAATGGACGTTTAATCTGTCATTTTGACTTCTGAGTAGGGGTATTTTTTAAAACCGTAGTTTTGTTTTTCCCTTAGAAGAAGGAATCTAGTCATCTGATTTTGTATTGACTTCTTGTGACAATTCCAGCATTTGTTTTAGCAGGAAAGTGTATAAACTGAGTGAGTTTTAATTTAGCCACTGAAGAGAAATACTAATAAATGCATACATTTCAGCACAATGAGAGAGCTCAATGTGTTTGCATGATTGAGTGGTTTTAGAGAGGAATGATATATTTAAAAGGACACGGCATAATTCAGACTATGGGACCATGAGAGTATCTCTGAGATTTATTTGTAATCCAATGCCAGTGTCTAAATATGTAAAATATTTTAATGCCTAGTGTCTCGAGTGCCAAACTGAATAATTTTTCTCGCTTGGAGCCAACGCTTCACCTGCTGGGTGTGCAGTTTGATCAGAAGGTGGCTAGCAACATCATCACGGAAAAGCCTGGGGCGGCCACGAAGCTCTTGTACCAGCTGTACACGGCTCTCCAGAAGAAGAAGAAGAGTGGGCTGACAGGAGCGGAGATGCAGACCATGCAGCCCCTGAACACCATGTGGCTCCAGAACATGAAGAGCGAGGCTTTCCGCGATGTAAGTGCACAGGGAAATGGGAGCTGGCGGCCACTTGGGGCTGCCAGAGGGACTGGCAGTGCTGCTGCGTTCTCAGAGAAGCCCCAGCGGGAGCACTCGGCCCTTCAGCGGCCCTTATGTGATGGGCTATCGTGGGGTTTAACTTTATATTAATAGTTTCAATGCATTTATCCATGTTTAACATCTTCCTCATGCTACCCACATGTCCAGTAACTTACCACATTCTGTGGAAGGAGAGCCTCTGGGAGGAAAGAGGAGGAATGAGGCAGTGGTCCCGTTAAAGGAGTAGAGATGGCACTCTACAGTACCAGATGGAGGAAGACACGGTGTTTATTATGTAGTAATAGTAAAATTCACTGAATTTTAATGAGGTGCCAAGCCCTGTTCCAGGTGCAGTCTATATATTATCTTGCTTAATATTATTTTGCTTCAGTCCTACGAGATAGGTATTTTTTCTCTTCCCACTTTGCAGATGGTGAAACTGAGATACGGAGGTTAGAAAAATTGCCCAGCTTTACAGAGCAAGTAGCTAAAACTCAAACCTGAACAGTCTGACCCTAGGAGCCACACACTTAACAGCATCTCCATGGGTACTTCCTGGGTGGGGGGAAAGTAAGAGAGAAGTGGAAGACCTAGATAGGTGTTGGAGTGGAGAGGTAGGATGATCCAGGACCTTACACTGCTGTGGTCCCTATGGAGATGGAGGCCAGGCCATTTTTCATTGAGAAAAGGGCCGAAGGTGTGGAGGAGCTTAGAGTCAGCTCAAAGGTCCTCAGACATTCTTCTGAGTAAGTGGCAGGATCCGCTGAGGCCATATTAGGAGGACCAATGTCATATATTTTTTTCTTTTTCAGTAAGTCTTCAGCTTCAAAGGAGATTACACCTAAATAGAAAATTTTCAGTTAAATACATGGTCCATGTTTCTGTGACCCACTTTACAATCGTCTTTAAAAGTTTATTTTCTTATAATATTGCATTCTCCAGTGGGCTGGACGTTTTAATGTTCCCTCACTTGTTACTAGGAAGAGAGAGGCTCAAGTAATAGAAAGAATCTGACTTACATTATTTCTTACTTAGGTTGAAATTGGTTTCATAAAATTACTTTTATAAAAATATATTTCCAGTAATTTAAATACCATTTATCAAAAAATTAACTTAGGACAAAAATTTACTATGCAACTATATATCAGATTATTTTGTAAGAAAGAATTCGAGTCATATTTTTGTATTCTCTCCTTACATCAGTTAAGGATGTGAGTAATTAGAATGGGGCTTATAATTACTTTGACAATCAACAATAGTATCTTATAGAAATTTTATTTCAAAGACAAATATTAGGTGTGCTTATAACGGCGATGTATTCTTTCTTTTCTAATAATGGCATCTTTTGAAATGCTTTCTTCATTTAGAGACTTAGAAACCTGATACCACGTCAAACTGATTTCAATCTGATGCGGGTCACTCACAAGTTTCAAGAAAAATACGTACATATGAAAGAAGATGTTGTCCGCATGCAATCTGAAAAACTTCAAAAATTCCAAAAACTCAAGGAACAACAAAGATGTTTCAGTATCGAAAAGGTTCTATGGCACAATTTTTAACAAAAATTCTTGAGTGCATACTATTCTGTGAGACTGATGCCTGGAGTACACATTGCATAAGCTTTAACATAGCACACAATTTCATGCTGACGAGTCGACTCCTGCTCTGCCTGTTCTCACCTCTCTGTCCTTCACTTTCCCCTTCTCTCCATCCCCACTCTGCTCACTGTCTCCTCCACTCATGGCTAAGAAGCAAGAGCTGCCATTCTCTGGAATGGCAGGACAACTTGATCTCTTTATAAGATGCCTGGTAGAAATCAAAGAATCAGATTCAATAGTGATGGGGTGCATTGGGGGGGGCGGTCCTTCTAGCTCCTCAGCGAAGGCTGTGGCCATCGTCACAGCTGAGGGAGACGGAGTGGACATTTCTCTCTCCTCTCCCTTCTTTGCAACCCCTTGGTCTTCCTATCCTCCCCATTTCTCTCTTTCTGGCAATGTGGCTTGCTTCCCCGTCCAGACCCTTAAGCCTCTCGCATCTTCCTGGCCCTTCAGGCTTTGACTGACTTCCAGCTGCTTCTCCTGTTTCTCTCAAAGTCTTTTGTGATCTCCTCTGACATGATGGACCTCAGGGGACATGAGTGTGTGGAGTATTCACAGACTTTGCAGAGAATTGCAGGTGGCTGTGTGTATGGAATGTGTCTATCGCAGGCAAAAAAATTACAGTTCTCATTGCACTAAATATATGAATTCATATGTTTAGAATGATAAGAAGTTAACATATCCCGAATGTAGCCAGCTCCTCATGAGGAGGGAGGGAAAGAGGAGAGATGAACTCTGGAAGAAGGGGTGGGCTTCCCAGGGCATTTCGAGGTGAGGAGACAGGCACTTGGAGTGTTTAGGCTGGGACAGGTGCTGGGACTCCAGTGGAACCAGCCTGCCCGGCCTTCATATGCATGGCTCCTGCAGAAAGTCTCTGCAGAGAGTTGGGAAAAGCAATGTGTGATGCCGTTAAATATCCTGAAATAAATTGTTAAAAATGATAAGAAGCAAATAGGACAAAACAGAGAGCCTATCTCTTCCTGGTTTTCTTAAGGACAAGGGTAAACATATTGCAGTTTAGTAACAATTAGCATTTTAGAAAAGGAACTGAGGAAAATTTTAGAATTATTTTTATTTCTGACTTGTTTCTTATTGACGTATCTTTAGATGTAGGTACCAATGATCTTATTCGTTTTAACATATTGCTTTAGTAGTAAAGTCATTAGTTTCACATTACCCCCTAAATCATTTATTTGTAAAATATTTTACCTAATTTTTTAAAATTATGCCCTTCTGCTTATGTCTTCTTAAAATAGTTATTGCCTACATGGAGAAGAGATGATTTCATAAACATCTTACATGACTGAGTGACATGACATGAATTCAGTATTTTATGAATTCCATGTTTAAGTGTGACCGAGTTTGGGGGAAATTTGTGTTGAGTGCCCAGGAGTCCTCCTGGAGACCTTCTCCTAGACCAGTGGTCAGCAAACCGCGGCTCGAGAGCCACATACAGCTCTTTGGCCCCTTGAGTGTGGCTCTTGCACAAAATACCACTGTCTGGGCGAGTCTATTTTGAAGAAGTTTAAGTTTTAAAATGTGGCTCTCAAAAGGAATTTCAATCGTTGTGCTGTTGATATTTGGCTGTGTTGACTCATGAGTTTGCCGACCACTGGCCTAGATGGAGCTTCCTCTTCAGACAGAGCTTTCTCGTCCCACTACCGAGCAGATCTCGAAGGTGGACCTGGAGAAGGAGCGTACTCTTCTTTGTGTTTGGGACACTTTACATTCCTTTTCGTAACGACACCCAGAATAAAAATACACAATTTTGATTGGTATACCGTGGAGACTCCAAAACTTTGTTTTAATATCGTACTTTCCAAACCAAGTCATGTTGACGCCTGCTTTGTGACATCATACAGTTGTGACTCCCAGTACATTGGTTAATTGATGAGTTAATTGAAACCTTCATTGGAGAAATGGTGTGTATGTGTTCCTGTGAGTGTGTGACATTGCCTACTAGCGTGTAACTGAATGACTAAACTAATGTCTCTGGGGTATTCAGCAACGCTTGAGCAGAAGACGACAAAATGAAATAATGGCCAAAATCCAAGCGGCCATCATACAGATTCCAAAGCCGACATCCAATCGCACTCTGAAAGCAATTGAGGCCCAAAAGATGATGAAAAAGAAAAGAGAGGCAGAGGTGAGTGATAGTCCTTTAGTTCTGGGTTGTGTTTGTCTTAACAAAGGAATGATCGTTGCCTAAAACACACAGAGAGATTTCCCAAAACTGCTTACCCTCTTTACAAATTATCTCTGGCACTGTCCCTTCTCTTGAAAACGCTCCCATCGTGTGCACGTTCAGTCCATTTTATACTGTTATTTGTTCAGAAGCAGAAAATGCAGCTCTGGGCCAGAGACGACAACCTCTGGTTAAGTGATGGGACCTGAGTGAGTGCCTGTGCTGAGGGCTCTCTGATGGCTAACGAGCTAGGCCAGATCGGGTGCTGTCAGAACGACTCCCGGGGGTGCCACAGGGCCAGCTGGGGGGCACATCCCCTGCATGTGCTTCTCCTACCTACTGTGTGCACTCATTGGCTCCTTGCCATGCTGCACTATTTTCCCATGAACCCTAGACATGTTGTGTGACTTGCTTGTTTTCAGTATATGTATTTAAGTTTAAGTTACCTACACTAGTGAGTTTTGGCTAGTGATCCATGCCAAAGGATGCCATCTGATTCTGTTCCATGGGGGAATGATAGTAGATTGTGGTAGAACTTTCTGTAGTCTGCATACCACTACACTAAAAACCGCCCCCAAAAAAGATGAATAGCTGTCATTTATTGAGCATCTGCTATCTGTCAAGCTATGGAAGTTATGGATTGGACACTTGGCACAATCTTTCATTAGTTTATTTATTTATTTTTATTTTTTAAAGAGAAGGAGCTGCCTCCTATACTGGAGATGTGCCCCCAACCAAGGTACATGCCCTTGACTGGAATCAAACCCGGGACCTTTCAGTCTGTAGGCCGACGCTCTGTCCACTGAGCCAAACCAGTTAGGGCTGATCTTTAATTTATACATAACTCTCTAGGTAGGCTCTTCTTCTGCCCATTTTGTAGATAAGGAAACTAAAACTCACAAAGCTGACATGTTTTACTCAAGCTCACAATGCTGGCAAAGCAGAGTTGACAGGTCTCTCTGGTTGTATTTATTTTAGTCTACATTTATTTTTTTAATTAAAAAATCCTGTGTGTGGATTCTAAGAAATGTTCCCCACAGACATTTTCTTCTGACCCCATTTTAGTAAAATACATAATTCTTATATTCCCTAGAGTTGATTAAATTTTATTAAGAAGTGCAGTCGACAGAGGATGAACTAATAGAGAGCAAATTAATCGTGTAAATAAGATTGCATGAGACAGTGATTTTTAAATAAATATTTATACCCCAAAATGAGTATTCTCATTTATAATAATTGCAATTAAAAATCTCAACTATAATTTGATAAATATTTTTAAACTTAAAAATAATTGTGTCCCAACTCTGATTAAATTTAGAGCTGAAATTGTGAACTAAATGATTCGGGTTAAGCAATTTTTATATTTTTTAAGTATATTTAGTCCAGAGTAGAAGTAACGGATCAGAATTTTAAAAATTTGCTGGAGTGTGGCTCTTTCTATCTCACTTCCTAATTAGCTTGAGTTTGTGGTGCATGTTACCTTGTAAATTTGAATAAATAGGGTATGTGGTAATTTTCAATGATTTTTAGAGGCAGAAAACTGATAATGAAATTTTTTTTAAAGGATGTGGCCAATGAGATTATGGAGTTTGAAGCATTACTAAGAAAGGATCTCCAAGCAAAGGAAAGGTGGGATGTGAACTGTTTTAATAATCACAAAGCTACGTTCTCTTTAATCTGTGGGTTTTGAATATTTTGGAAAAGTGTACCTGGAATAGCTGTTTCAAGACCTTTTCACTCTGCAGAAGCTTCAATATAATAGTACATGAAAGAATATAAATGACTTAAAGTTCAGATTAATGGTTCAATAACAACTTTTGTAAAGTTCAAGAGGGAAAATTGCTATTATAATGCGAAGTCCAATTATTTTTCTATTCTCTGCTTAACATTTCTTAAACTCAAATTGTTTCAAGTTTAAATTTGTCACAGTAAAACCTTTATTGGACGCTAGTTGGTTTCTTATGTGGCCTCCTCAGCATTTAACACAGGGATTCAATAAAGAGTTGTTGAGTCAGTTTGTTGACCAGATGTTCACTAAGTCAGTTTGGTGAATTTATTGAAAAAGTGCCTGGCTAATGGGCTTCATTTGCCCAAAGATAAAGATCTTCAGTTAAGAGTGGGAGTCATTGACTCACAGGAAAGAATCTACTAGGGACTACATATATAGGAGCAATGTGAGGTGTTTTTCTTTCTTTTTTTTTTTAATGTATGTAAACTATCAAACTCTACTCAATTTATAGAATTTAAATTTATAGACTGAAATAGATCTTTGTCAAAGAAGAAAGATACAAATTATATATTTCAGTTCCATATTAATATTTCTGAGGGAAAGAAACAGTTAAATAAGGATGAATAAGAAAAAGCTAGTAAACAGTGGTGCAGAAGTCATTGTGGCAGGACAGTAAAGCCGGATGAAGAATGCATGTAGTACTTTCCCTCCCCCACCCCTTATAGAACCTCACAATGCCCGGCTGTGGCTCCACTCCCATGTACCAGTGCTGCCCCGACTCCTTGAGAAAACACAATCCATGCCCACACACCCAGGTGGCCGCCGCCTGAACCCACCACATCCACCTGCCTGGCTCACGAAACCACTGGACTTCTACCAACTCCTCCACTCAACACAGCAGCCACACACTCTGGAGTGGTAAACACATGGCATCCACCAGCATGACCATCTTGGAATATCTTGTTGCCTTTTGGTGGGTGGCGTTCTCCGTGTCTCCAGGGCCAGCTCCTTTCCTAGAACACCACACACTTCAGCCACCAGAGGGGACACCAAGCCCAGCAGCATCTTCCATCCCCTGCTCCAGCTCCATTACAATTGATTCGTGGCCTTGCCATGTCCTTTAGATGATTCAATGGTCATGCCTGTACAGTATGGCTGCAGACACACACCCTGCTTTTACTGGCCTCTGCTAGCTGGACCTGAGCCTCGGCCTCTCTACCAGTTAACTTTAGAAACCAAAGACAAGAGTGGGTTGAAGTGGACGGATGTTTACTTTGTTCTTGTGTCTCAGAAATCAGAATGGAAGCATCCAAGGTGTGTATTGCAGATCCAAGGCCCTCAAGGACTGGGCGCCTCTTTTCCTTTAGCTCCGCTGTCCCCTGGTGGGGTTTGCATCCTCACGTCACTTTCACAGATGGTGCTGGAGCTCTGGCCACTTAGCCCATGTCCCAGTATCAGGAAGGAAGACAGGCAAAAGTAGCCATCTCCCGTATTAAATAGCTCCTTGTATGAGCCTTCCCCAAAGGCCCAAATAACATTTCTTTTCTTTTTTTATTTTTATTTATTTATTTTTTTTTCTTTTCTTTTATTTATTTATTTTTTTTTACATATTTTAATGATTTTTTTTTGCCCCCCTCCCTCCCTCCCCCATATCCCCTCCCTCCCCATAGTTTTATGTCCATTGGTTGTACTTATATGCATGTATACAAGTCCTTTGGTTGATCTGTTATCTTCCCCAGATCCTCCTCCCCTCCCCGCTGTAATTTGACAATCTGCTTGTTGCTTTACTGTCTCTATATCTATCTTTTGGTTCATCAGTTTATAATGCTCTTTATTATCCACAAATGAGTGAGGTCATGTGGTGTTTCTCTTTCATTGATTGGCTTATTTCACTCAGCATGATGTTCTCCAATTCCATCCAGGTTGCTGCAAATGATGAGAATTCCTTCTTCTTTATGGCAGCATAGTATTCCATTGTGTAGATGTACCATAGTTTTTGGATCCAATCATCTGCTGATGGGCACCTAGGCTGTTTCCAAATTCTGGCTATTGTAGATTGTGCTGCTATGAACATAGGGGTGCATATATCCTTTCTGATTGGTGTTTCTAGTTTCTTGGGATATATTCCTAGGAGTGGGATTACTGGGTCAAATGGGAGTTCCATTTTCAGTTTTTTGAGGAAACTCCACACTGTTCTCCACAGTGGTTGCACCAGTCTGCATTCCCACCAGCAGTGCACGAGTGTTCCTTTTTCTCCGCAACCTCGCCAACACTTGTCGTTTGTTGATTTGTTGATGTTGGCCATTCTGCCAGGTGTGAGATGGTACCGCATTGTTGTTTTGATTTGCATCTCTCGTATAATTAGTGACTTTGAGCATGTTTTCATGTGCCTTTTGGCCTTCCTTCTGTCTTTTTTTGAAAATATTCTATTTAGGTCCCTTGCCCATTTCTTAATTGGATCATTCATCTTCCTTTTATTTAGTTGTATCAGCTGTCTGTAGATGTTAGAGATTAAACCTTTATCAGTGGTGTTATTTGCAAATATGTTCTCCCACACCGTGGGCTTTCTTGTTGTTTTGTTGATGGTTTCTTCTTTTCTTTTTTTTAATATATTTTATTTTATTTTTCTTTACAGAGAGGAAGAGAGAGGGATAGAGAGTTAGAAACATCGATGAGAGAGAAACATGGATCAGCTGCCTCTTGCACGCCCCCACTGGGGATGTGCCCGCAACCAAGGTACATGCCCTGGACCAGAATCGAACCTGGGACTCTTCAGTCCACAGGCCAATGCTCTATCCACTGAGCCAAACCTGTTTCGGCCCAAATAACATTTCTGCTCACATCTTATTGGCTGGAAGTCAGTCACACCATTATACGCAGCAGAATGGAAGGCTGGGAAACGTAGTTTTTGGCTGGGGCGTTGTTTTTTCTGAGTAAAATTTGGGCTCTGTTTGGAGGGGAACAGGAGGAACATAGCAGTGTCTATCACAAGTCTCTTTCTCTAGGAGCCTCCTCTTGCTCTTGCTAGGGATTTCCCATTGGGCACCATGAATATGACACCTTCCCTTCTCAGAAAGGCAGGAGAGGGCCCAGCAGCAAGAGGCCCTGGACCAGTCACCTCTCATCGGAGACTGAACGTTCTGTCCAAACATCATTTTCTCTGAATGCCCTAAAGTGGAAAACGTTGGGAAGCACTGGGCTAGAGCAAACTTTGACAGAAAACCAAGGCTATGGTACAGCATGGTCCTTCTTAAGCCTCTTTTGCAATCGCTACTCTTTTGAGGCATTGTGAATTCTTAGCTTAGGCTCCAACATGTTCTGGGCTTGTTGAGTTACTTCATACTAGTTGGTGCCCGAAAGCACTGCAATCCTCTCCCGGCCGGCTCCTGAGACAGCTCCTCGGGGATGTCACCTCACAGTGCACTTTGTTCCCTTGTGGAAGAATAAAAGTCTCAATGGGAGCAACACAGGAGTTCCCATGGCTACTTTTTCCTCACATGACCGTCTTTCTTTATTCTTTAAGACAAAGAACAAATGTGATCTGCTCTTTGCTTCTGTAGCTGAGGTTGCTGTGGCTGCAGCCTGACATTTGGATTCAGACATTTCCCGTAGGCTCTTCCTAACAAGCTGTTTTTAATATTGACAAATCTGGCCAAGTTTCCCAGTACTAATAATTCACACATATCCTAACTCTATGGAAGCCTGGCAAGCAGATGTAAAGAAAACATAATATTGCCCTCAATAAATCCATATCTAGTAAAATGAATATTCATTCCAGGAAGTATCATATAGCTTTGTTCAGGCCTTTAATGTAATCAGACAGCAGATGGATGGGTGGATGAATGAACCGACTAATAAATAAAAGACGGAAATTATATTTGTTATATTATTGATAGCATACTACAGTATCAAAGGAGCCATTAACCCATCTAGGAAAAATATTTAAACAACACAGTTATGTAAAAATATGATACAAGTTTTGATGAATGATCTAAAAAAGTTATGTTATATAATTTTCATAAATATTTAATTGTACTAGGTCTTGATGAATAGATTGGGATAAACTTTGTCTTTAATATTACTGAGACTTTGACAGCTACTCAATTTCTGATCAGCAACTCTCAGTGACAGAATAAACCAAAGGCTGAGCCCCTGCTGATAAAATAACCAGAAATTTAGTGTGTGATTTAAAAAATTATATCATATATCTATTATGCTTCTGAGCCTATCATTTGAAATTTAGCAAACATCAGCTACATGGCAGGCATACGAGGCCTACATACAGAGAGGAGTAAAATTGGATATTTTTCTTATGTGCTCAGAGTTCAGCGGGGAGCAGCAAACCTAGAATAATGAACTATAATATAATGTGATCTGTGCTACCAACATGCAGTTACTGTCTCACTGAACAAGGATTAGCTGTGCTTTTGCAAGAGTACCTTTCTCTGTATAAGAGTTGATGAACATGATGATAATGTGTCCTGTCTTTTAAGTAAAATTACGTTATATTTTAAAACAAATACACTAATAATTTATAATATTAGAAACCATAATTATTCCTAATATTAAAATTCATGATTTCTTGGCAAGCCATATTATGATATATCTTACACCATTATCTTACATTGTTTATTTTTATTTTATTTATTTATTTTATAAGATGGTGGCTTTGTTCTTTTTTTAAATATATTTTTATTGATTTCAGAGAGGAAGGGAGAGGGAGAGTTAGAAACATAAAGGATGAAAGAGAATCGCTGATTCACCGCCTCCTTCATGCCCCTCACTGGGGATCGAGCCCACAATCCAGACATATGCCCTTGGTTAGAATCAAACCTGGTACCCTTCAGTCTACAGGCTGACGCTCTACTCACTAAGCCAAACTGGCTAGGGCCATTGTTTATTTTTTAAAGGGGTACGAGGATGAGAATTGGTTATCTGATCCTTGTAGACATATGATAAAAACATAGCTTCTTATGATAACTTTTGAAAGAATCTAGCAATTCTCTTCTAAGCCACCCTCTGAGTGTGTTTGCTTTGTGTTGGTCAGACCAGCTCTCTTTGAGCCTTTAATTTTGGACACGAGGTAGGACAAATCCCCAAGGCAGGTTTCTCCATCCTGGGTCTCCAGGACTTGGGCCAGAAGCTAGGTCAGACCTGTGCCTGCAAGCATGGCGTGATGAGCAAGTCAACATTCAACGGCTGAGCTTCCGGCAGGAGCTGGGCCATTGCCCTCAGCAGCCCAGGAGTTGGGAGATCATAGAGCAGCTTGCATGTGCATAAGTGGAGAGAACCACCCCGGAAGTACTCTGAGTCCTGACATTAATATGCCTGTGACTCCCCTGATACTTGGGTTACCAATATTGTGCTACTGTTGACTCAAAGCAGGGGAAGCAGGAGGCCTAGATACAGTAGGAAGAAGAGGGAGAGAAATCCAGAGTGTCTGGGTAGGGTGAAGACCATGAGGAGAGAAAGAACAAGGAGTTGCCGAAATCGGTTTGGTTCAGTGGATCTGTCCCAGGTTCGATTCAGGTCAAGGGCATGTACCTTGGTTACATCCTCAGTAGGGGGTGTGCAGGAGGCAGCTGATCAATGTTTCTAACTCTGTATCCCTCTCCCTTCCTCTCTAAAAATCAATAAAATATATTTTTTAAAAGAAAAAAGAACAAGGAGTTGATGGGCTAGATTTCTAGAGAAAAGGCTAGATCAAGTCGCGAAAAGGGGGGACGCAAATTGGAATCCATTGACCACACTGAAGCTCCAGTATTCACTTCCATGCTTATGATGATAAATTAGCAGAGGGCTGTGAAGACCCTTCTCCTGAGGTCTTCCTCCGTGCTCACAAGTAGTGGCCCGTGATTGTATTATGTTTTGAATCTAAAATAAAAACTATTGTCCTCAGTACACACAAGGCTTCCTTAGATACAGCAGCCCAGACAACTGCCGACTTGCTAAGCACTTACTCGGATGATGACTACATTAAAAAAATCCAGAAGCGCCTCAAAGAAGACGCGCTTGCACGAGAGCAAAGGGAGAAAAGACGCCGGAGGCTGCTGATGGACCAGCTGATAGCCCACGAGGCACAGGAGGTTAGATGTTTGGATGTTGCTTAAGTGATGCTGTTGGAAACGTCACACAATGCAGCCTTTTGCATGCACATTACATGTATCTTATGTATGTATCATCGGCCACTCTGCCTCAAATATCAGTGGGACATCCTCACATCATAATAACATCACCCTGTGTTCAAAGGTAATTTCTCACTTCAGATTCACATTTACCGACATGTTTACATGATTCCCAGGTTCAAGCCTTGGCATTTGCCACGGTATTGTTGTTGTTTGTATCCTGATTCTGAAAAGATACGTAGTAGTCCTCCCATAATCTCAGAGTGGGAGAGAGGGTGTGAACCTGTGTCATTCATGATGCCTGATTGTCTTCTTCAATAATTGGGTCATTGCCCGTTAAATGGGCAAACCCGAGTCTTAGGTATTCTTTTGAATTTCCCCCCTTGAGGACTTGAATTACCTCACCCTTCCACATGATGTCTCTGTTTAGACAAGTGAGAGAGCTCGGAGGGGCTTTGGAGAGCACCTTACACCTAAACTCCTCATTTTACTTGTCCAGAAAGAGACTCCGAAAATCTGACTCGCATTCCAGGACTCACAGAGGTGCACTGGCCAGGGCCTCTGAGTGCCAGTTCCAGGCTTTGCCCACTGTTCACTTACTGCTTCCCCCTTAATTCTCTGAGAGAGAACTGAGCCAATGCATCTGGTTTCTCTTCCAGATCGCAGCCATTACAATTCTCCAGGGTAAGCTGTAGGTGATTTCGCCTTAGCCTCTTCTCCCATCTTCATTCTTCTATCTGATTTTTGCTTTTCCTCACTCAGCAAGGGTTGCAATGTTCCCTCAGGGAACTAATTGGATCTGTCATCTGTGGCCAGATAGTGCCTGCATTTGTTTTTACAACTAGTATTTACGTTAAGGGTACCTACAGCACAATTCCACATACCGAACGCTGAGAATCAAATCCTTGTTTATAAAACCTTGAAAACAATCACCTAATTTCCCCCTCAAAATTTTAAATGAGGCAATCCATTACTTAAATAACAGGGAGCTATAAATCCATAATGCTTCTCCTAGATACCAAAAGTGTGCAGCCTTTGTTGGAGATGTTTTTATTTTTATGTCTTGATGTTGGCCAAGTTCCGATTTAAAAAGTGATGCAGATGACTGCTAGACCTTTTGCACACTGCTCACATCCGGGGTTTCAGCCCCGGGGGCAGTGAGGACACGGCCTGGGCGGTAAAGGGCTCCCCACGGTGTTCCAGGAGGCGTACCGGGAGGAGCAGCTCATCAACCGGCTCATGCGGCAGTCCCAGCAGGAGCGCCGGATCGCCGTGCAGCTCATGCACGTCCGCCATGAGAAGGAAGTTCTGTGGCAAAACAGAATCTTCCGAGAGAAACAGTACGAGGAGAGGCGGCTTAAAGACTTCCAGGACGCTCTGGATCGAGAAGGGGTAAGCAATGTCTCCCTTAAACATCTCCCTCAGGCTCTTTTCGCTTCTTTCTCCCTGTCAAGGTAAACAAAGCCGTAGGTGTGCGGCTGCCCATCAATGATCTCCCTGAATTATCTCCCCTTTTTACTTTTGCACAACTGCAGTGAAAACACACCCAGGGTCCTCCCCTTCGGTCTGCATTCCACAGACATTACCGCTCTCCACAGTCCTGTGTCTGCTGGACACTGACCTCTGGGTCCTCTTCAAGAGCAGAATTGTCTGGATCCGTGGTCTGCAAACTGCGGCTCTTTGGCCCCTTAAGTGTGGCTCTTCCACAAAATACCAAGGCCTGGGAGAGTCTATTTTGAAGAAGTGGCGTTAGAAGAAGTTTAAGTTTCAAAAATGTGGCTCTTCAAAGAAATGTCAATCATTGATATTTGGCTCTGTGGACTCATGAGTTTGCCGACCACTGGTCTGGATGATAGTGAGCTAAACGGATCCAGTGCCATTTGCTTACCTGGAAATGATGTGTTTAGCTCATCTTTCTGGGTGCCTGTTGGGAGAATATATTTGCCTCCCAAGGCCAGTTAATGAGGCGCAGGACAGGGTGTGGGTCCAGCAGCTGCTCTCCCGGGATGAGAAGCGTCCCATTTCTCACCTAGGATGGAGCCGGCTGCGAAGGCCTGGGCCCCTTGGGACTGCTGCAGCCTCACAGACAGAGATGTAATCATCGCATCCTTCCTCCCAGATTGCCTTTCCTAAGGCTGAGATAGCTGCTCCCTGAAGCCCTCCCTCTGAGGTGGCTCCTTTCTCAGCTGGAACTTAAACCTCCTCCGTCAACAGTGGCTGGAGCCTAAGGAGGACTGACATGAGGTGTTGAATTTTTCAAGGGAGCACTATCACCTTTTCCTTCTGGTAACATCCACTAACAACACACAACATCATTTGCTTTCAACGATATGATCCTTTTTGTGAAGGCAAAGGAAGTGTTTAAAATTAGTTTTTAATTGTTCTTGTTCTTGTAGTTTTGCTGTTATTTACGGTGGGCGAATTGGACACGTACCTTTCAATTCATTAAAAATGTTAAAGTTTGTTCATGCTGCTCATGCGCTGTTGGTAGAGCTTCACACCATGACTGTGAATGGGATGGAATTCATGGTCAGTCCTGTTGGCACAGCTGAGAACACACCTGGCTTTTCTCCTGTTTCTGGCCCCCTAGCCTCTGCTCTCGTTGAAGGACATTCTCCTGGGAGAGCAGACCGTTTCCGGGGTCCTTAAAGCTGCGCCTAGGCCCCTCCTTCCCTCCTCTGTTGCTTCCACAGCCCAGAGGTGTAATTACTGCCACAGACATGAGATTCATGCAGCTATGTCTCCGGCCTTTGACGTGTGCATCCATATGTCCTGTCGCATTCCTGACATCTCTCTTCATATATCTCACATACACATCACACATTAAAGTCAAATGTATGACCCATGTCTCTAAACTGGTGCATTTTAAGGTTCCATATTCCAACAAAGGACGTTGCCTTTCATTCAGGTGCACAAGTCCCAAACCTCAGGCCCACTGGAAGTCTGTTTGACCCTCACTCCTCCATATCCAAAGCATCACATAGTCCCACTGATTTCAGGGACTAAATAAGAATCTCTTCAGTTTGCCTGCCTTCCTCCATGCTCACCACCACCCCAGCTACTTCTGCTGCGAGGTCTGTTAGCGGTGGCTCTGCATTGGCAGCCACAGCGGGCGTGTGCGTGGTCATAATGTTATGTAGGTCTTTCAAATCGATGGCAGCTAAACTCCAACCGCTCACCGCTGCCCACAGGGGTGCACAGTGGCCAGGCCACGGGGTCAGGTCATCAGGGAGACATGTCAGGCATTGGCACAAGCCCAGCCTGTTGCCACTGAGACTCAGCTACGCCAGCCCACACGCTGCCATCAGCACACAGGTCTGAGGAGGCCGTGCTGGCCTCTTGGGCCCCTTGCACGTTCCCCTCTGAGGCTTTGCTGCGACCCAGGAGCTGCAGGGGCGGGGGTACACCCTTTCTCTTTCTCCGTGTCCTCAGCACCTCCCCCTCTGTCCCCTCGGAGCCATTCAGACCAACTTGCCCTCGGATGTAGCTTTGAAAGTGAGGAGGAGCCTCCATCAGTTCCACCTTCTCCATCTGCAGGAATTCCCTAATGCAGGACTTAGCAAGCCTTCGGATAACTTGTTAGAAATGAAGAAAGGAGAAAATTAGATTGAACTTGAACTTATACAGATTGTCTGTCCTACTCTCATCCCTTCCACACCCCTCTCTGCTCTGCAGCCCGGGGAACTGGTCACTCAGATTGGACCCAGCCCTCCCGCTAGAGGACACCTAGCCCTGGCTTCCTGCCCACCAGATCCCTGCTCCGACCTGGCCCCCTCCGTCCCCTGGACTCTGACCACACTGGTCTCTCAGACCCTGAAGAAGCCACGTCTCTCTCTTTCCCCTCTTCCCAGCTGCCTTTCCCCAGCTAGCGGTCACCTTGCAAAGCTCCTGCTCATGGCGTGTCCAGCTCAGGCGGCCTGCAGGGACCCTCACACCCACGCCTCTCCCTAGTGACACGCATAGCGCGTAATTAGAAGTAGATTCCTGTGACTTTTTGACAGTATTTCCCACTGGGCGAGAGTTCAGTGTTTGCCTCTCTGAGCACTGTTTCCCAGGGCTTTCGCCAATGTCTGGTCCTATGAGAGAGACCTGGAGTTGCACACCATTCCTTAGGAGTTTTGTTTGTTTTGTTTTGATTTTAGATTACTTTTGCTAATCTCTTTAAGACACTTGGGTGACTATTGGGACAGTTTCTGGTTTTAAATTCCTGGACGACGATTGTTTTAACAATAATGGAACGTATTCATATTTAACATATTTTGAGCATTTGCTTTGAGTCGGGCATTGAGCTATGTTCATCACATGCCTATGTAACTCTCACGATGGCCATTTCACGTGGCACCATCCTTTCCACATGTCACACGGGAGGAAAATGAGGTCAGAAGCTCAGGCACACCCTCTCAGTGGCAAGGCTGGGAGCAGGCCAGCTGTCCGAGTCCAGAGTCAGAACTCACACCACAGACTTCCTTTTCCCTTTCCTTCTTTCTTTTCTGGGGCTGCAACCCACTTTGCTGTAATGGGGCAGGAAGTTACAGTGGGGTTAGCATAGGGTCCGGGGTAGTAGTGTGGGTAGAGGTAGAAGACTAAGTAGCTAGAAAGATGGAAGAAGGACATGGAAGGGACATGGAAGGGGGAGGGGAGAGAGAAGGGGGAGGGAGAGAAGGGGGGAGAGAGAGAGGGAGGGAGAGAAGGACAAAGAGAGGGAAGCAGAGAGGGGGGAGAGAGAGAGGGAGGGAGGGAAGGAGAGAGGGAGGGAAGGAAAAGGGGTAGAAGAATGGAGGGAGGGAAAGAGGGAGGGTAAGAGGGAGGACCAGGTGAAAGCTGCTCTGGTCCCGCTAGGGACAAACTTGGCCCTACTGCCCTAGGTTTGCTTTGATCACACCCTAAGCATTCCGGGACTTCCGGGCACCCTGTAGTGAACCAAGCTCAGGACCCATTTTGCTGTCACTTTCCATACATTCTCTTCTCACTACCGTCCTCTCAGATTCCTCTCTCCTGAACTCTCCACACTCCTAAAGCGTGCCATAACGCTTTGTACCTCACTGTCTGCTTTCCTAGGACAAAGGGCCTGCAGAGCAGCAGGAGGCTGATGCATTCTGCTGTCACTCCTCAGCCTGCCCCGTGGACAGGGCTGGCCTCAGAGGCCACACAGCGCAACCTCTTTCCCAGGACAATAAAACAACAAAACCACAATAACAAAAGAACCCCGCCCCCACCCCCACCCCCCTCGGTTCAGTGGACAATCACAGTTTACTGTCACGCTTCTAGTCCCGTGTGAACAGCATCATGATAAGGAATATTTGCTGTGACCAGACGGTTCGGTTAGTTTTCCTGTTCATGACAAACCTTGCTAGTATTCCCTGTGCATGGAGGGAAGGGAGGCGCAGGCCCTGACTGGCCCAAGTTCACAGCTAGTCCTTGACTCCTGAACGGGACCTGGGGCTCAGGTCCCAGCACAGCTCCATCCGGGCCCAAGCTGCCTCCGCGTGCCCCTCCCTGGGTCCCTGCGCAGGAGGAGGGTCTTGTGTCTGGAGCCTGTTGGCCCCAGATAGACTGTCTCACGGAGCCTGGATAGCTGTTTGAAAATCAGCATGTGGCCATACGTACGTGTGTGAAGAAAGGGTTTTCTAAACAAACCGATAGTGCAAAGCGAACTGAGGGTAATGACAAGCTGCTTACGTGCTTCACTGCTTTCTGCAGAAAACAGATGTCTGCATGCATGAATGCTATCCATGCATTAAGGCTGGGACAGCAGCAGGTCCTGTTGTTCTCTAAGCACATTTAACATTTGTCGGCCGATGTGCGGTGTTTTCAGGTCATAATAAGGGGATTTCTGAAAGATTTCCTACGTCTACATCAGTATTCTAGAACTCCGCCATGGAAGGCACTGGCCGAACAGCTGAGACCCAGCAAGTCTTCTCAGACGGGTGCAAAGAGGTCAGAGGACCCGCTATGGTTGCTGGAGGCCCAGCACTGACATGCCTGCATCTTTTTGCTCTTCCTTTTAGTTTTTTAAAGTTGATTTTATTTTATTTTATGTTTTTAGAGAGGGAAGGAGGGAGAGGAATAGAGAGACAGAAACACATGTGCCCTGACCGGGATGGGACCAGTGACCTCCTGGTTCACAGGACAACCCTCAGCCACTGGGCCACCCCGGCCGGACAGAGGTGCCTGTTTCCCTCACTCCTGCCGATGTGAAACCCGTGAGGCCAGGACTTCGTTTAAAACACTTAAGATGCAACTTATCCTTAGTCCCTTCCGGCTTTCCCTGATTGGCCCAGTTTCGTCTGTACTCGGTTTTGCTGCTCAGTAAGCTCTAAGGGGAATATTTCCAAACTTGTCTTTGCCATCAGACTCAGTACTTACTGCGTTCAGGAGAAAGGGCTCTCTCATTTATTTGTTCTTCCTGGTGTAAAAGGAGGTGTCATTCTCTTTGGAGGTTTATTTCTGTTACATTGAAATGAAGACATTATTTTCTCTTCAACCTCTGCCCAGTCACGGGGACTTAAGGGTGTCCGTGTCTCCCTAGGCTTTGGCAAGACAAGCCAAGCTCGAGTTTGAAGAACAAGCCATCAAAATGCGGGAAGTTCACGAGCACTTGGCTGTGGAGAGAGCTCAAGCGCTCTACCAGAAGCACTACTTAGCATGCTCCGAGATTCTGGATCAGATACTCGACTTGTCCACCAAAGTGGCAGAATACCGGCTTTTAACCAATAAGTAAGTCTTGTTTTTTGTTGTTGTTTGTTTGTTTTTACTGTCAACACAATAGAGACACCCCAGAGAATGAGAAAAGTTATGATTGTAAAGCAGACACTGGGTGGGTAAGAGAGAAAAATGTTTCATGAGCCCTAAAGGGTTTGGCTCAGTGGATAGAGCATCGGTCTGTGGACTCAAGGGTCCCAGACTCAATTCTGGTCAAGGGCATGTACCTTGTTTGCAGGCACATCCTCAGTATGGGGTGTGCAGGAGGCAGTTGATCAATGTTTCTATCTCATTGATGTTTCTAACTCTCTATCCCTCTCAATAAAATAAAATAAAAAAGAAAGAAAAATGTTTCATGAAAGGAAGGCCGAGAAGTGGGGTCCAGAGGCCCTGGATGCTGACCTAATTCATCCCTGATTCGCCTTATTTATATGCGTTTATGGGTCTTTTCATTTAAATGTTGTGTCTAAATCCACTACAATTTACTAAGACAACTAGGATAATTTATTTGAAACACTTGGGACTTCCTAGGAGATGGGGATTTTTTAAAGATTCTTTTACTAATAATGCAATTTATAAGAAAATATTGAACAAAACAAGAAATATTAAGACTATGCCAAAATAAGAACAAGGGAAAATCTAAATTTAAGTAGAAAGCTAACAACAAGGGATAAATTGAAACCCAGTTATATAGGCAGCAGGTTTGCCAGTTACTGCAACTGAGCTACAAATTTTATCTGCGTTTTCTGGTGGCCAAAGCAAAAGGGAAACAGATATTATTTCTATGTCAAATAAATGACTGAAAAGCACACATTACAGAGCACCACTCTCTATCAAGCTCAAGACTTCCGATATGCATTAGTTTGATTATTGTAGTATTTCACAGAGGCAATATACTAGTCTGCCTCTTACTACTTTTTTTTCTTTTTTTGTCTAAATGCCTCTTACTATTCTTAAGTCCTGCTTCATGAAAATTAATATAGAGAGCATACTGCCTTCATGAAACTATTTTTATTATAATTTTAAAAATACATAAAATGTTAAAGTTCCAGAAGTATTGATATATAGAACTTTTAAGGAGGCTTTCTTTGAAAATATGTCTTTTAATTGCAACTGATTAAGTAAGATAATTGCACATGAACACAGGTGGGCAAAATAGGTGTGTAGTTGTGAATATGCAAAACAGTTTTTTCTATTATTTATTAATTATTCTATTACTTATTTGTATTACAACTGTAAACCTACTTTTGCCATCTCCTATATGTTAAGATTATTTTTTTTTAGTTTACATGATTAAAAATCAAGATAAACTCATTTTAATCTCTTTTTATTCTGCACTAAGCAAGGTATTATCAGTATATATATATATATATATATATATATATATATATATATATATATATCTTTGGTATCAAGCTGTTTATATGAACTGACTTTTGTTAAGACTGCTCCTTAAGCCAAAACCAGTTTGGCTCAGTGGTAGAGCATCGGCCTGCGGACTAAAAGGTCCCAGGTTTGATTCCGGTCAAGGGCATGTATCTTGGTTGCGGGCACATCCCCAGTATGGAGTGTGCAAGAGGCAGCTGATTGATATTTCTCTCTCATTGATGTTTCTAACTCTCTATTTTATTCTCTTCCTCTCTGTAAAAAAATCAATAAAATATATATTTTAAAAAGACTGCTCCTTAACAAAATTATTAATATTCAAATAGTAGGCTATTAGTTCAATAACTTCAAGATTAAGTTTGGGCAATATATAAGTTGTTAATTATTTACTTCATCATAGAAGCCAGTGCCACTTTAAAAATTCTGGTGTTATTTCTATGCCTGAGCTTATTAATTTCTAAACTTCCATATCTCCATAAAGCAACCTCTAGCAGCTATTAATGTTTTATGCATGAAAACATGATTATATTTTAAATTGTGACATTAAATACTACTTTTTATTGTGGTAAAATATAGAATGAATCACTTTAACATTTTCAAGTTCAGTTCTGTGGCATTAAGCACATTCACAATCCTGGTCCCATCGCCAGCATCCATCTCCAGAACCCCTTCATCATTCCAAACCGGAACTCAGTGGTAATTAAACAATAACTCTGCCCTCGCTCCTCCCCTGGCCCCGGAAACCACTGTTCTACCTTCTGTCTCTATGACTCTGCTGCAAGGTACCTCATGTGAATGGAAACATGGGGCATCTGTCCTCTTCTATCTGGCTGATTTCATTAGCATGTGTTCAAGGTTCACCCATGTGGGACCATGTCTCAAAATGAAACACATGAAACACTGCTAGCTGTGATTTCAAGCTCTAGTCCAGCTACTTTTAGAGAACTGTGTCTGAGTCATGTCAGTCCTTTCCTTCCCTGCCCTCTTTATTCATCTTGGAATTGTTGTTCCATCACTCTGTCTGATTACCTCCTCTAGTCATCCCTCAGATTTAAATAGAAATAATTACTGATAAAGCGTCTTACAGGTTACTAAATGTCCAGTGACAGTAAGACAGCCATACAGTGAGTGCATCTTTCTGATACACATTAATGTGTAAGCCAACTGGCATCTTAAAGAGGCCTTGAAGTGTTCCACCTGCTGATTTTGCAGAGGAGGGCACTGTTGCCAGAGCATTTACACGATTTCCTGAAATCACACAGCCACTTGACAAGATAGCTGGGATAAAAAACCCTCAGTGACAGTGTGGATCATTTTGAAATACACTGTTCTTAGTTCACAGCCAGTTAGAAAGTTTGAAAACAGTTACTCTTTAACATTCATTTATTCAAACCTACTAAGCGCAGACATTTCATTAGCCTTTAAGTATATAACAACAAGTTGGCATCCCTGTTCTCAAACAGCAGACCCTGGAGAACGTATCCTATATAATATCCTGTATAATAAAAGGGTAATGCAAATCGACCGCAAACGGCAGGATGACCAGTCGCTATGACCAGTCGCTATGACGGCAGATGCTCAATGCAGGAGCTGCCCCCTGGTAGTCAGTACGCTCTCACAGGGGGAGCACCGCTCAACCACAAGCTGGCAGCACTAAGCCATCAGTCGCACATCCCCTGAAGGCTCCGGACTGGGAAAGGGTGCAGGCCAGGATGAAGGACCCCTCCTCCCCTGAGACCATGAATGTTGTACATCAGGCCCCTAGTATAATAATAGAAAGACTACAGTTTAAGGTGTATGTATGACTAACTGTTGATTCATCTCTACCTTTTTTTTTCTTTTGCTATAGTCTGATTCCACATAAAATTATGCATGATTGGAAGGAACTGTTCTTTTATGGAAAGCCCATTTATGAGCAGGCCTCTATTAAGGGTATGCCAGCTAGGCCTTCTACAGAGCAACTTACACAAATGGAGAAAAGGGACTTGCTAGATAACAATGACTATGAAGAATATAAGGTATGAACAAAAATGGAATAATTAAGGTGAATGCAACATAATAAACATCATGTTAACATTAATTTTGTGATATTATTTTATTCCTATTAATAAAAAAATCGGAATTTTATGTTTGCATTTTCCACTTGGTTTAATTTGTATTAAAGTATTAATTTGTAAATGCCTAACTACATATATTCTATTATCCGTTACTTCTAGTTCACATTAAGAGTGGTCTGAAAATAATGAAGCATAAAGTATTGCCTGGGCAGATGAATGCAGAATTTTAAAATGTTTTTATCTCTCAGTGTTTTTCTCTGTGTGAGCTAACTATCTTTGCTTCCTAAACCCTTGTTAAAGGGTATTTCTCTTTAAAAATGTATCTAAATACTATATTGTTCTTAGTGGCCAATGAAAGAGGAGAAGGTTTGAGCTTTATGAGTAGCATAGACTCAAACAAAATTTTATTCCAAGATTGTTTTGTGTTGGGTGCCAATTGTTTTTTCTTAGCTGAGCTGCTGAAAAGCTGTTGGGTTTAGGCAGACCAAGAGTTCATCCCTGGCTGTGAGACCACAGGCAGCCAGTCCCTTAGTGTCAAAAGCCCAGTTTATGAAATGGCAATAATGATATACCTACCTTATTTAGTGGTTGTGAAGATAGTACATTTTAAAAAACATATATATTTTTTTATTAATTTCAGAGAGAGGCAGGCAGAGGGAGAGAGAGAAATATTAGTCATGAGAGAGGATCATTGATTGGCTGCCTCCCCGCACGCCCCGTTCTGGAGATAGAGCCCAAGACCCTGGCGTGTGCCCAGCCCTTGCTGCCTGGGCCAGTGCTCAACCACTGAGCCACACTGGCTGGGCTGAAGGTAGCGCCTGTTGAGCATTCAACCAAGTGCACTGCATGTTGGATGCAAATAATACATGTCAGTCTCTTTCCTCACCCAACTTCATCTCACCTGTAGGAGGAAAATGTAAAATGGCTGTTGGATAGAAGTCTTGGGTTGATCAGCAGTAATGGGAGGAAGTATGAAGCTTTTTATTATTACAAATATTGACTTAATTCAGAAGGGCAATAAGTGCAATATGAATGATTTGGCACAATCATTTGTTGAATTTATCAAACACTCACCAAATAGTTGTTGAAAGGATGCATGAATGAAGTAAATGGATGACAATGAGTGGGGCAAAGTGTAAAATAGCACTAATACGTAAATACTGAAAGAAGATAAGACTATGAAAAAAGGCAAGGAAAGAAAGTGAGATTATAAGAAACTAAATGTACACCATATTTTAATTGTATGAATCTGTGTTTGTATTACTGAGAGAACTATTATTTATTAAGCAATTAGTAGAATCTTATGAGTTGTGTATGCATATTCATTTCATTTGGCCATAGAATATACTAGAGGTAGTTTGTCCATTTGAAGTGGAATGCTACAAAATAATTTTTTTTTCTTTTAAAACTATTTTGTTTGTTTTTTTGTTTTTGTTTTTAAATTTCTTTATTAAGGTATTACACATGTGTCCTTATCTCCCCATTGCCTCCCCACCCACCCGCCCACTCATGACCCCTGTTGTCTGTGTCCATTGGTTAGTCTTATATGCATGCACACAAGTCCTTTGGTTGATCTCTCCCCATTATAAATATCACATGATCTCACTCATTTGTGGAATATAATGCACAATGTAAACTGATGAACAAAAACACATCCAGAGACAGAGAAGCATCGATCAGACCATCAAACCTCAGAGGGGAGGTGGGGGAGGGTGTGGGTAAGGGGGAGTGATAAACCAAAATAAAAGTTTAACAATATCAAGTTATGTAAAGAGATTTCTTCCCACTGTAAATCGTCATTTTATTTGACATCTTGCCGATTCATGGAAAATTAATTTCTAACTTATTTCTTAAGCAGCTCTATCTACTCTATTCTTGTTGTTCTCATAAACCAGGAGACCAGGTAGTCTGCAGCTGAGCAAAGATTTGTCTTTTTAACTTTTTTTTTTTCTTGTTTGGGAAATCATTACCACAGGTACACAGTCGTCTCACCCACATCCTTTGTAGGAAATTGTAGACTTTTGTTAGGTGTGTGTGAACGTCTGGCCATGCAGTTTACTGTGTTTAAAGCTTTTACTGTTTTTCAGGAAATGAAAATCACCTGAGGATTTCTGATTTGTGTTTATATACTTTGCTTCTTTTGACCACATGATGGGAAATAATATTCAGATGTTAGACACTAATCCTTCCCTATTGTGAGCATTTCTTTGCCTCTTCGGGATCTCATTAACTGTTTGTGCCTGCAAGCAAAAAATAAATGTTTCAACGTGTAACATATATAATATGGCTTAGGGAGGACAGCACAGCCTGTCGTAGCTGAAGGAAGCAGCTGTCCATATTTATCATTGCTAAATTTGCTCAGCCTGTTTATTCCTTAGGTAAAAGCATAACTTAGAAATTAGTCTTCCAAAGGTTTGCATTCTTACCATACTTTATTGATGCCCATAAACACCTTAAAAAACTATTGTATCTCCCAGTTTTGAGCCTACACTTTTAAAGCTCTCCATTAGAGAATTATTGTGCTTAAATATTTTAAATATTACTCTAAGAAGTTGGCATGAAATGCAATTTTGCTCGTGCATGAATCATATGTAGCTGCCAAAATTTTGTCTCTTATTTCTTTTCTTAAAATATATTTTTATTGATTTCAGAGAGGGAGGGAGGGAGGGAGGAGGAGAGAGAGAGAGAGAGAGAGAGAGAGAGAGAGAGAGAGAGAGAGAGAGAGAGAGAGAGGGAGAGAGAGAGAAAGAGAGAAACATCAATAATGAGAGAGAGAATCATTGACTGGATGCTTCTTGCACGCCCCCCAGGGATCAAGCCCACAACTGGGCATGTGCCCTTGACCAGAATCAAACCCGGGACCCTTCAGTCCACAGGTCTACATTCTATCCATTGAGCCAAACCGGCTAGGGATATCTCTTTTTTTCTTAACATTATTTCCTAAATCATCATACTCCATCATCCAGGAATGGTATGGCCAGATATATTGTATCATTCACTCATCACTCCTAGGGAGCAGACAGTAGCAGCATCATGGAGCAGCCTGGGATTCCCCGGCAGCTGCCACAGGAGAACAAGGCAGTGTTTAATGGAGTAGGGAAGAGCCCGGAAAACCCAGGGCACCACGGCAGCCAGGAAGCCAGGAGCCCAACTTCCCTCGCTCTCTGGAGGCACGGTCCCCGCACAGCAGCCAGTGGTTCTCAGTCATGCACTGGACTCCTGCTGGGAAACCCCAAACTCTCCCCATGCAAGTCCTTTACAGGAATCTCCGCCACAACGCACTTGGCAATTGGCAGAGCTCCACTGTGCATGCCAACAAACATGTTTTAGTTGGAATTCCCCCACTTTGAAAGGGTGTTTTGTGTCCAGTATATCATGTTAAGTCAACCAAAGTTTTTTTATTGTTATTTTTGTTTTCAATGAAAAATCACTGTTTAAGTTCATGATCACTTGAGCTTGTTGTGGTTGTTGGGCTAATCCTAGAGTGTATGCTGTAATGCACATTTTTATCAATAGCACTGTTGGCTTAGGATAGTCTTCAAACTAGACTTTATGATGCATTTGTATATACTGTGGTTTAACATTCATGCTCCTGTCACTAAACCAGATATATACACACCCCTCCCCAGATTTGTTTATCCATTGACATATTGCCAGGTCCTTTCCACTAGAGCATAGGAATGAGGGACTAAATCAACCATGGCGTTGCCTTCCTATGTCTCCCCTGATTTGTCTGACTGAAAGGCTCCGGACACTGCCTTGTTCTTACTCTCAACTCCAGCCTTTGGTCTTGATCCAGTGGCTTCAGACTCAACTTCTAAGAGTGGACACTCCATCTTAGCTCTGGCCTTGCTCCCTGGCTTCCCAGTGAATGGCCTCTTCTTCATAGCTTATTATTTAACCAAATTTTCTTATACGAAGAATATCAGTTTGAAGCCTGTGTCACTCAAGTGACATCACTCGGTAACTGACACAGCACAGTGATAGATTTTAGGAGCAGGTAAGTGATTGTAAATAGGTCATTTTTTTTTACATTTTTACTTAAAAGATATTGATTGCATTAGTCAAAGCAGGTTGCCACTGTAGACTGGGTGGCTTCAAAAAATAGGAATGTATTTCTCACACACCTGAGAAGTCCAAGATCAGGGTGCCAGCAGACTGTTTCTTGGTGAGGACTCTCTTCCACACTTGAAGGCAGCCACCTTCTCACTGTGTCCTCACATGGAGCAGAGAGAGAGAGTGAGGTAACTCTGATATCTTTCCTTTTTAAAAGACACTATTCCCATTGTGGGTACCCCCACTGTCAAAACCTTATTGCCTAATTACCTTGCAAAGGCCCCAGATATGAATTGTGAAGGGACATCCTAGAGTCCATAACATACATGTTTACTCGGGGCACTTATGAAATACCTCTGAGCGCTCTGATATCTTTCCTTTTTAAAGGACACTATTCCCATTGTGGGTACCCCCACTGTCAAAACCTTATTGCCTAATTACCTTGCAAAGGCCCCAGATATGAATTGTGAAGGGACATCCTAGAGTCCGTAACATACATGTTTACTCAGGACACTTATGAAATACCTCTGAGTGCAAGCTTAGGTAATAACTCAAGTGCAAGACTCCTTAAATTCAAATGAAATGGCTGTTTTGTTGTGTTTGGGGTGTTTTTGCTCCCTGTTGAGAAAGAAGTCTTAAAATACCTTATTATTATTTATTTTTTACTCTGAGGATATGTTTGTATCTTCTATTTTGAGCTTCGAGGGAGTATAGCTTACTTTTAAGTAGAGTGAGCAGTTGCTCATGTGATGAAGTGGAGATAATCTGTCAGGCCTCCTACTTTAAAAGTTCTGTTTGCCATTGTACTCGATGCCACACATGATCGCTTCTTTGGATTAAGACATAAGAGGCACCTGCTGATATACAAATGTTTCCCAAGATAGTAACAAGAATAACGATCGGCT